GCTAGTAACAAACCAGGAGTCTCATTAGATGTATCTAAAACATTGAGTTGAACTGTAGTATGCTACCTGAGCAGCCTTTTCTACAGATAATTTTTAAGGGTCCCTTTTGGCCATAGATGTCCAGTGCCAATTTTTCATTGAACATGAAGATGGTCATTAGAGCCAGTTTAGTGCTTGAGTAAGACAACTAAGCATTAGAAGTAACGTGTCCAGCTAACTCAAGATGGATGGACCCTCATCTTAACGCTGATACTAACCTAGGTTTTTAAAATAAGCACTTGAGAATTTGGAAGTGAGCCAAATAGTGGAATTAGTGCATTAGCCCTTGGTAGAATAAAAATCCCGAATCACCCAAGTATCTTAACATTTGAAAGCTCAGTATGTGTGAACTTGGACAGTTAAACAATATTAAGTTCTGGTAGGTATGCATGCTGGTTTATTTGGTACCACACTGTCAATTTCAAGCCACTCAGAATGCTAGACCTTGGGAAAGGAGTTTGAGGGGTGGGGAGAAGTGAAGAAAGGCTATGTACTGCATTAAGAATATAGGTTTGTTGAGTAAATATCAATGATTGAATAATAATTAGGTGCCCTAAGAAGCTCATTTAGTTTTTTGAGGCTTAGTGGATTGGAAGTTGTTCAGTATATCCTGAGAGTGTATTCATGTTAACAGAATAACCAGAATAACTCCATCACCTATATGTGTGGAATAAATAATGGTTGGAAGCTCAGAATTGATAAGGGGGACAAGTTTTGAAGGGTGTAATTCATATAGGTCTGGGGATCAGTGGTCACTGCTTTGGTTAGGTGAGTTATTGAGGATGCCTGTTGAAAGTGATGTCAAGGAACTTAGTGTCATTCATAGTTATTAATTTGCCTAAGAATATTGATATTTTGGTATCTTTATGTCAAGGTTCAGCATATACTTGGATCTTGACAAGGAATACAGGATTTAAAGCTGAGTCGCCAGGCCTTAGAAACCACAGCAAAAAGTGAGGTAGTGACAGTGTGAGTCTGCCATATTGCCAGTGACTGCTGGTAGCCAGGTCGGGATTACAGGCTGGAGGACTAACAGTATCTACCTGATAAAACTGGAACAGCGTTTGGTGATTGTTCTCTGCTCTTGAATCAGTTCCTGTTCTGTGACCTTACAGGAAGTTAGACGTCTTGTCCAGTAAAATACTCTGCTCGAAGTGATGCCAGTTTGGCAAGCATCTGAGAGCAGAAATGGCTAGACCGGTGCTTTTAAGTGAGCATACATAGAAAAGACGTGGTATTGGGGTTTTACTTGAATGGCAGCAGGGTTTTTGAGATAGTTTTTTTAATCTTGTTTGTAGCTAAGGAACATGGGAAAATCATGGTCAGGTACAAGAAAAGGTTCCAACTTAACTAATTTTATTTTATTTTTTGAAGAAAGTAATAAACATTGTGCTGATTTAAATGTCATCTCCTTTTCCTTAGTCTTTCCATGCGAGTGTGCTGTGTGGAAGAGTAAAGGGCCCAACTAAATGTGTTCCAGTGATTTCAATAGGTATTCCAAATTAATTGCTGCTTGTACATTTACCATTTACGTTAGGCTTTCCTTTCACCTGAAGTGGAACTCTAAAAAGATGGGGGACAGAAATAATTAGTAAGGCAGAAGACAGGGAAAGTGTTCAGCCTTGCCTCTGCACACCTAGAGTGAAGTATCGGGTGGTTTCTCAGCCGTGCTCCGGTGGCATAGGCTTATGAGTAAATGCAGATAGACCAGAGGCCTTTCAAGGCCAGATCTTTTATCTGATGGGCTAAATTCCTTCTATTTGCACTGTTTTCAAATAACACATTTAATATCCTGCATGCTTTTTAAAGAAGCATTAAGGCTTCAATAAATATTCTGATGCAAAGAGTCTAGGATGCCTTTCTGTCCTTGCATTCCCAAGATATTTTCTTGCATTTATACTATATTTACAGAAGGACTAGCTTATGACAATTTGGAAAACAGATTTGAGGTCCTTTTGGAAAATGAAGTGATCCATTCATATCACAGTCGATAAAGTCAGCTAGGAAGTATACACAAGGAATGGGAGAGCTGTGTTGGGAGCTGTCTGCTAAGCCCAAGGGGTATAATTTCCTTTAGGTCTGAAATTATTCAAAAATTTTAAAAGCTTTGAGGAAATTAATTTCTTCCCCAATACACACTAATGCCTGTAGCTGGAACGAGCGGATTTGAGTCTTTTGATTCCAATGGAGCTATCAGGGTTTGTTCGGGTAAATATGGCTCAGCTACCTGATGGTTTCTGGAGAACAGGCAACTTAAGGTTTTATAACCATTTCCGTTTGAGAACAAACTTAATTGAAAAATAACCTTTCAGAGTGAACAGAACTCTTAATTAGCACTGGTACCTGTTGATTAATATAAACAGTGGTAGCCTTGATGAAAGCATTCAAAATGTCATCCTTATTCTAGAAAATGCAAGAATAAGGAGAATGCAGTGGTTGATAAGCACTCAAGTATTTGCAACTCATTTATCTGTAGTGCTCACATGACAAACTTTAAATGTAACACTTTGAAAAGTATGTTCACAATAAAGATGTTTTGTCCCAACAGCTTCCCTTTTAAGAACCTTTTAAAACTGAACTTAATGTACAAAAATAAGCTGTGTAAAATAACAGTATTTGGATGGTAGAGAATATTGGTATTACTATATTTACTTGATGACTACTGGACTATTTTAAGATGTTTCCAAAAATTAATTTATTCTAGAGGACCATTATAAATCAGAATCACAGTAACCATTTCACTTTTTCTACTTTCCTCATTAAGATCTGCTGCTTACCCAAAGAATAGTATATATCTTAACATGACTTTTAAAGGGGTACCTTGAACCCCTGTCACAGATTTTTATCTAGGAATAGAAGGATTCAAACCCTATTTGATCCCTAGCTCTTTGCTGAAAAGTGCATAAACAGGAATCCTGAATTTATTATATAGACCTCCTCGCATTATGTAATCGAAGCAAAGGGAAACCAGCGATGGAGTCGAGGTACGTAGACTGAAGAGATGCTTGCAAATCAAATACTGGTTCTAGGGAAGTCACAGTTTCTTACTGCCAAACTCAGACAGTATGAGTCACAAGTTCAGAGAAAAGTTCCTAATTGTAAATTCCCTAACCTTTCACTAAGATGGAAAACCAGAGGGAGGGGTAAGGGAATGGGGAATTGTGTAAAGCTCTAGTAAGACTTAACACAGTAGGTATGATGGATGATCCACACGGCTTTTAAAACAACTAACAATCACAATTCTATTTTAATCAGCTATTTTAGCTGGTACCCTACTGCTATATCACCTAGTGTGAAAGTTTGGAGTTACTGGAACCAGGAAAAGCAGCTGTACGCTTGGGAGCTGAGTGGGCACTGAAGGTAGGTTACTCTGAGAGGTTAAAGCATGCAACGAGTGAGGCTAGAGGAGGGGGCACATGAGTGATTCAGTCTAGTAAGCATAGACTGTGCCAGATAATTGGTTGGGAATGTTAATAGTTGCCAAGGAGCAATGTTGGCTGTACTTCGAGCACAGCAGTGAACACCACACAAAATAGGGTAATCTTAGTTCTGGAGGTTAGTGAGCAAAAGGGACTGTTGGGTGAACAATTTATGGATTAAGGAGTAAAAGTCACGGTGGGCCAGAAGTTTGCACACATGTGATAGAAACATTAAGTTGGATGGCAGGGTGGCAGCAGATGGGATGACTGGAAGCAGCAGTGTCCAGACCAATCTGGAGCCTTTATCAAGGGCAAAAGTGGCACGGGCTTGGGCGTAGTCGCGCAAGTTAAGGTATTTTTGTGACCATAGTCTAGGAAGTCACTAATGATTTTATGGACGTATGAAATGATGTTAAAAGTAGTAAAACCAAGTATGTCAAAAATTTGTGTTTTTATCCAGGTCCCCAGCTCGTGGAACCATTCTGTGAAAATGACGGGGTCACTGGTGTGGAGGCACTGAACCAGCCGGAAAAGGTTTTACTTGGGGTAAGACGTAATTACAGTGCTAGAGCTAGGACTTCAGTTACTCCATCCAGCTGCCTAACTCTGCATGTTGTGTTTTTGTCGGCAAACATGCTGAGCGTGGAGGTGGCCTGCCCACACAGCTTGTCAGACATCAGTTTATTGATCAGTGCTCGTCAGTTACTTCCCGCACACGTGATGCTGCCTTCTTCAAACATGGGTGACTAACCAGTAGTTTATTACAAGGTCATGACTGAATTGAAAAATGTACACCACATGGTGTCAGGTCTTGCATATTCTCTCCCTTTCTGGCAGCCTCCCCTTACCAATGTCCTTTTATTGGTGGCTGCCAGATAAATTGATAAAGGTGCTGGCCACCAGCAGATAGGCATGGGAACCTTTCCTGGTGGACTGAACTCAACCTCGCACCTTTCCTATGAAAGAGGATGAATAATTAGAGGACGTTCTCTTCCTTGCTCTTTTCTGTGGCTCACTTTGAGCATCAGAATAACAGAACCAACAGTGGCCATAACCCTATCAACCCGTGTCTTTTCACCTTTATTTAAAGTAATGCTGAAGCTTGTTCAAGCCAAAAATGGCTTCATTTCCTTAGACAGGAAATCACCTACATGAATGAATTGTGATGATTTACTTGGGTGCTTTTTTCATTCCCTTTTTTTATGGTGGCTGATCAGTAATTTTTGTGTGGTTCTATAATTTTTTCTAGTATGCACCAGACCACCTAAATATTTAAACCACACAGGTTTAAAATCAAAACTAATTTTACTTAAAAATTAAGTCTTTTGTTGTTCCAAAAACAGGGCAGTTAAAAACAACTTTTCTGAAAGTAATAAGGTAATATTTGTTTCTTCTTCTTTTTTTTTATTTATTGGGGCTGTTTTTTTAACTTTATTTATTAAATATAAATTTTCAAAGTACAGTTTATGGATTACAATGGCTTTTTGCCCCCATAACTTCCCTCCCACCCACACCCTGGTAATTTTTGTTTCTAAGGCAAGATTAAAAATCGAAGTGTAGGTATTTTATTTCTTGAAATTTCATCATTAAATTCACTGCTTACTTTAAGAATTCTTTTCCAAGCCTGTTAAACACTGGGTTTTGTAATTCTTTGTCTGGATATAGCAGATCACAACAGTATGTTACACACAGGAATGCTACCCTGGCGATAGAGGTGGGACCGGAATACATGGGCAGATTTTTATGCAAGTGTTAAAAAAAAAAAAAAAGACAACTAAAACATAGTTTATTTACTTGCTTAAAGCTTTCTTATTGTACATAAGATGTTTCTGTGGTCGATCCCAACTCTTGAGGCAGCTGTGTTTGGTTTTCTGTACTTCAGACTTAATGGCTACCACTGCTGTTGGTTTTTCTTTCAGGATCAAGGTGGGTACTTTCATATAAAATCTTGTTTTTAATTCCTTCTCTGGCAATCCTTTCCTGGATTCGTTGCTTTGCATAATTGTACCTGCAATGGAACCTGGTGAGAATAATATGAATAAATTATTAATATATAGTTCTTGGAGAAATTAACTACTGCTCGTTATAATCCCACATCTTGAAGTAATTACTCCAAGACTGACTATACATGGTCGAATTAGGAGTACCTTCTATTGGGTAATTAGGTATGAAAATGACTTTTAATAGGGTATATATGTCTGTGTAAAATGAGGATTTTTGAGATTCATCTGTATTCATCAGTAGCTGCGAACACATCTTTAAAGCAACATGTTCAGATGTGATGAATAAGGTAAACAATTGAGGCCATTCTAAATGATGGCCTGTGTTCATCTGTCAAATGATGAAAAGTGCATATCTGCTTGCATTTAAGGTAAAGGCATTCCAACAATACTGTTCTGTAAGACATTTCCATGCAGAAGTCTTTAAGTCAGGCTACTTCGTTGAGGATGGCAATGTCCCAGTGGGAAATTGTTCTTAATTAGGTAACACCTTTTACAGTCCCAAGCATTCCTGACTACTCTATAACATACCAGCATCCCAAAGTCACCAAGATAAATCCTCCTACTCCAACATCGCATGATCTTCTGATTCTACCTGTCAAATGAGCAGAACCATTGTAATGAACTACACATTAACTGTAGATTATTATGTATGTAAAAATGTTGGTACTTACAGAGAAAGAGACAGGTACTTACTAGTAAACAAAAAATGTCCTAGGCCAGCCACAGCAGATCCCAGTGAGCCGTATAATATTGAGTCCCGTGCACAGGGAATGTTTTCCACATCTAAAATTCCTAGGAGTTTAAAAGGCTAGAATAACATAGAAAAGAACCTAGATTGAATGAGGAAATTATTTTAACCTGTTGGTAGACTGATTTGGAGTTCTTTGTGAATTTATTTGGGAATATGGCTATTGCTGAAAATCAAAACCAGCATAGTTCTCCAGTAATTACAATAACCTGGAAAGCATGAATGGGAAAGCACTTTGGGACCATGTTTGCTTACAACATTTGACTATAGTGCTGTCTTCAATTCCCCAAAAATGGCTTTTATTTCCAGGTATTTGGTGTAAACTAGGTGAGCATCATTTGGTTTTTAGAATAAATACTTTATGTCACCTAAGACTTCTCTCTCCTGGCCTGTTTCCTCGACAGGAATGAGGTTGCACTTCAATGCCATAGCCAGGTGTGCTGAGAAAAGCAGGGGGAATCCAGAGAGCTGGGTTTTTGTTCCAGTTTTGCACTAGCTTTGGTACCCTTTAATTTATTTTTATCTCTGTGGCCTCAATTTGTAAAGAGAAGGAGCTGGGCTGGATGATCGAGCTCCTTGAAGTGCCAGAAAGCCATCTTTGAACAGCCTTCCCTGGGTTTATGGTCCCCCAGCCTGGTTATCTGGGATGCCTGTCACTGAACGTCTGTTCCTCAGGGTTTCTGGGAGGGCAGGGCAGACATTTAAAAGTAAGTCGACATTCCAGTTTAACTTAGCATTGCTGTTAATAAAGCCTGAAAGCTTGAGAACATGATGCCGTTTTCACTGGGCATGACAGCTGTGCCAGCCGAGGGGCACTGTTTAGGGTGAGGGGGCACTTGCAAAAGAATGTAAGCTGTCTAAGGGAAAAGAATGGAAGAAACAGGACAGCAAAAGGCAAGGTGGATCAAAGTTTATGTTTGCTTCTTTGGCTCAAGTATTTACTGAAAAAGAACATGTGACTTGGCTCAGAATAAAGCAAAGCTTGCATACTCCGTCGAGTCTGTTCCTTGTTTCTCTCCGCCATGGCATACACCTAACGTGACCCTGCAGCAGGTCCTCTAGTGTATTTGATTTGGTTTCTGTGCTTCTCATTTAGCACTCAGGCTAGGACCAGTATCCCTCACCTTCAGGCCAGCTGCTTTTGGGGGCTGGCTGCTCAAGCAGGGTAAAGGTGGGGGTGGTGCTTGGTGTTGCATTAGGTCTTGGAGGCGAGTGAGAAGACAGTACCATCTGACCTAATCTCCTAATTTCAAGCTAGCAGGCATTACTAATGCCAGCCCCTCTGCATCCTTCAAAGCGGTATAGCCTTCTGATACTCAGATAAAACAGGTGCAGGGGTCTTCAATGCTGGCCAAGAACAGAGGCGGCAGTTAGTCTGACCCCAAAAGCTTAGGTCATTTCTACTGTGTCAGGTAAGGCTTGAGCATTTTCCAAAGGCCATATCTGGGGAGCATAAAATCAGTAGACATCTGCAATTTATATCAAAACAGGATAGAGCACAGCAGGTTAAGCCACCACCCGTGGTACTGGCATCTTCTATTGCAGTGCCGGTTCTGGCTGCTCCACCTCTGATCCAACTCCCTGCTAATGCGTCTGTGCCTCTGCCACCTGTGTGGGAGGCCTGGATGGAGCTCTAAGCTTTTGGCCTGGTTCAGCCTTGGCTCTTGTGGCCATATGGGGAATGGGCCCATGGAGGAAGAGGCTTCTGTCACTCTGCCTTTCAAATCTTGAAAAAAAGAAAAAAACCCTAACCTGCACACAAAACAAAATGGGGGAGGATACTTTTCCACTGGTAAATGATTCTGAGCCTTTGGACAGTGCAAGAACACCTGCGTGGAAGAATCCTGCTTACCCAGCAGCGTTGGTACACAACTGTGAGACTGACAAAGTCCAAGGTGTAGACTTCTGAGTACCCTACTCAGAATACACTGAAATATATATGCATTTGGCGTTTCTCTTCTATTCCCTTAAGTAGCCCGCAAGTGGTTTAACTCTTGCCATTTAAGCCTTTAAACATTGAGGAAATTGTCAATTTTCTAATATGTTTAATCCTTACACTTAGGAAAGTAGCTTTTCTAGCTCATGCTGCTGGGATGAGGGAATGCACAAAAGACTTCCAGATCAAGCTGGGGCGACTTCATGAACTGCACCAGTGCCTATGTTGTGCCTTTCCTCGTGGCTGCATCCATCTAGAGGTGGCCGTAACGCTTTGTGCACTACTGCTCTCCTGCCTACTCAGACTGCTGTCCCTCCCCCTTACAACACTGGTGGTTTATTACAGTTTACTAGGAAAACAAACCCATTCTGCCCGTGATTCCTTGCAGTCCCCTTCACGCAAACACCACTATCAAGATCTCTGATTTTGCAAAATCTGGTCTCCATCTTAGCACATGTAGCACAGATGTTTTTGAATCATTTGCTTGGCTTCATGTCTCGGGTCCCTGACTGTGCCTGGCAGCTTGGTGGCTAAGGCTCTGCAAGCCCCAGTGCTGAGGTGCTGCTCTGCCCTTCTTGGGGTATCTCAAGGCTTTCAACTACGTGCCATTTAGATGATGGCTTGATTTTAAGTCACAACATTCAGTCTCATTTATCTGCTTGCTGACATCTCTGGTATGTCTAAAAAAGAACCTTGAAGTTAATAGCAGCTCTTAATGGCATCTACACAACCAGTTTCCATTCAGGCCAAAAAAGCTGAGTCATCCTTGATTCTTTAAATGGCAAGTCCAGTTTATCAGCAAGTCTGCAAGGCCCTACCTTCAGAACATAGCCCAAACCAACCACTTCTCGGCTACTTCACTGCTCGTGTCAACAGTACTTTGGACCCTGATTCCTCTTAGAAACGTGCACAACTGTCTCATCCTCTTCATGGCGTTCAGTTATGCTCCAAATAATAAGCATGCATTCCTTTACCACTGCCTTGAGGCTCCACCTAATCTGAGATGTTACCTTTGTATCCAACTCTGCCTTGTCCTGGCAAGCCAGGCACATGGGCCTTCCCATATTCCTCTACAAGCCTAAATGATAATACTGCCTTTTCCCTGGCTCTGTGGACAGCTGGCTGGCCCAGTAAATGAAAATCTTGCTGCAGGATTCCTCCAGTAGAATGTGCTATCCAGACAGACTTGCCTGTTTTGATCAGGGCTTGATCCTCAGTACCTGGTTTAGTGCCCAACACTCAGTAGGTATTCTGTAAAAAAATTTTGAAGTCAGTGTACCTGAATGTATTAAATCCTACCACTTGAAAGCTTCAGCAAGGAGCAAAGGCAGTGTTGAAGGGCTAGTTCTATCAACCTAGGCTAGTTTACTTACTAACTTTAACCTTAGGTTTGTTGGCTGTAATAATTTCCCAGGGTTTTGTTTGAAAAATAATTATTGGGACCAGTGTTGTGGCACAGTGGGTTAAACTACTGCTTGCATTAATGGGATCCAATATTGGAGCAACATTTCAAGAACTGATTGCTTCACTTCTAATCCAGCTCCCTGCTAATGTGCCTGGGAAAGCAGTGGAAGGTGGCCAAGTGCTTGGGCCCCTACACCCACACGGGAGACCCAGCTGGAGTTTTGGGCTCCTGGCTGTTGTTGCCATTTGGGGAACAAACCAGTGGGTGGAAGACCTGTGTCTACTGTTCAAATAAATATATATTTTTAAAAAGTTGGCTGGCTTCCTTTTCTTACATTAGGTCAATGCTGTATTCTCTCCTTTTTTTTTTTTTTATTTTCAATGTTCCAAGTGACCCTTTTGGCCCTTAGAAGACAGCAGTTATGTTGTAAGAAGATGAGCAGTAGATGGAGAAGGGCTAACTAAAGGTCCCATTCAAAATGCCAGTGTTCATCAGAGATGAATCTAGAATTTCAGTGTTTGTAGGATGCACCTGGAAACACGCAAGTTCTGAACAAGGGTGCTTTTGTTTTTCAACAGCAGATGGGCAGTACATGAGTAAAGCTGGAAGAGGCACCGATGGTCAAAGTTTGGTATTCGGTATGGAAACAATTTACCCAACATTTATTCATATTAACCAATTGACAGTTGGATGTCCTGATCAAATTTAGCTGGGAATGTCCCCAGAAAAGCCAGCAAGAAGAGCAAATGAGCAAAATTTCCATGCTGTGTGAATGACCTAAAACAGCCAACCAGTACACACAGTGGGTGTCTGGGTCTGCCTAGGAGTGTTCAGTTCACTATTTAGTTTTTTTTCTTGGGGTTGGTGATGTGGCACAGCAGGTTAAGCCAGTGCCAGGGACACAGGCATCCCAGTTGAAGTCTTGGCTGCTCTGCTTCCTATCCAGCTCTGCTAAGGCACCTGGGGAGGCAGTGGAAGATGGCCCAAGTGTCTGGGCCCCTTGCCTCCATGGGGTAGTCCAGGGTGAGGCTCCTGGCCCAGCCCCAGCCACTGAAGTCATTTGGGGATTGAACCAATGGATGGAAGAGCTCCGTCTCCATAATTCTTTTCTTTTCTTTTTTTTTTAAATTTATTCGTTTGAAAGGCAGAGATCCATCTTCCATCCACTGGTTCATTCCTCAAATGCCTGCAACCACTGGAGCTGAGCAGATCAGGAGCCAGGAGCTGCTTCTGGGTCTCCCACGTGGGTGCAGGGGCCCAAGCACTTGTGCCATCTTCTGCTTTCCCAAGCCATAGTGCAGCAGCCAGGTGCCCATATGGGATGCCAGCACTGCAGGCAGGGGCTTTACTGGCTATGCCACAGCACCGGCACCTATAATTCTGCCTTTTGGACCTTAATTTTTCACCTTGCATTAAAAAAAAAACCTGCTAATTGCACTAAGGATATAAATTGGGTTTCCTGCTCTTAAGCCCAAAGAAAGATCCATCAGTTCTTACCTTCCCACTATGCTAAATGCTGGAATGATAATGCTACAGACGACACCAGGGTTGAAGAGGAAAGAAACACCTTAGTCTGCTTCGTGGAGTCACAGGAAGCCCTTCAGGAAGAGAGCCTGGTTCAGATTCACTACCCCACCAATTCGGGTTTTATCCTAAACAGGCTGTCACCACTGGGGTTTAAGTGTGGGGTGAAACTGTCCAGTCTACAGGTTGGGAAGAGCCAGCTGCCTCCTGAGACAGGTGAATGAGGGACGGGAGAGCACAGGCCAGGGGCGCCAGCTGGGCTCCAGTTCGGGCGCTGGTTGCTCCCGCTGCAGGGAGAACACGAATGACCCGCCGCATCTTAGATGGCACTGTCTGCTTCCAGTCCCGGCTACCGTGGCGCTCACTGGCACACGTGGAGACAACAGGTGATGCCCGGGGTCCTCGGGCTCCTGCCACCCACGTGGGGGACCCGATGGCTTCAGCCCGGCCTGCTGCGTGCACGTGGGGGAGTGAAAGAGTGGATGGAAGACCTCTCTGCCTTTCAGACAGGTACATCTTATTCAAAACCAAGCACCTCGGCCCCTCTCCTCTCGTCTTGCTGCTCTGGCGGTGATGAACCTGCCAGAATTAAACCCCAGCGTTCACCGCATCTCCGCACGCCGAGTACTGTGCAGTACGCAGCGTGGACGGCAGGCACCCGTTAAGTCATTCGCTTTACCTTTACCAACCAGCAATGCCCTTGTCAGCAGAACTTTCTTGCCATGTCACAGGGCTCAGGATTGTGAGCTGTGTCATAATGACCTGCAGTTAAGTCACGAACAGTCCTAGCCTCCACCTCCCCCCAGTCTCGGATGCTTCTGTCGCGACAATGTAGATCAAAATGTCGGCGGGGCTGGGAATGGCGAGTCTCTCCAGTCCCCAAGCGCCCGACGAGACGCGGGTGCAGAGGCCAGCGACACGTGCTCCGGGACTAGGCGCGCCACGGGGGTCGCGTCTCTGTCGCCGCCCGCCCCGTTCCTTCCGCCCGCCCCGGCGCGCGCCCCCACGCTCCCCGCCCGGGTTACCTTCCCCTTCCCGGGCTCGCCGGGCTCCGGCGCGGCGGCCATGCGGACGCGCGGGCGCCAGCCGCGCCGCCCTGCCCTGCCACCGCCGAGGGCCGCCGGAGCGGAAGCCCGGCCCGCGCCCGCCCCGCCCCGCGCGCCCCGCCCGCCCCCGCGCGCCGGCCGCCATTTTAGGGAACGTTCTTAGGGCGCCGCAGTGGCCACACCAGGCCGCGCTGTCGCCTCGGCTGCCATCTCCTTTGTTCAGTCGAGGGGGCCCCACTTTCGTCTCAGCCCCGCAACCGGTGAGCGGTGCCCGGAGCGTGGGATGAGGAGAGCTCCTGAAAGAACCCCGACTCCCGCACTCCCAGCGGGAGCCTTGGCACAGTGAAACCGCTCCTCTTCCCGCCCCTACCCCAACCGCCCCAACCGCCATTTCCAACCGTCGCCCGCGCGCTCGCTCGCTCACGTGCACGGGCTGCGGACGCGCGCCTAGGCGCGGGGCCGCGGCGGGGGGGGGCGCCGGCGCGCGCGCGAGCCCGCGCTCTGCCGCGGCTTTGTCTTGCGGGGCGGGCCCCAGCGCACCCCCAGTGTGGGCCTCTGGCCCGGAAGGCGTCCCCCGCGGGCTTCTGTGCCCTCGTCCCCTAAGTGTCCTTTGTCCTTCCGGCGCCAGGACGAGCCCTTGGGCCCGCGGCAGCTGCACCCTGCGCTGGCCGCCTTGCAGTCCCCAGAGCCTGCCCTTAGCAAACGGGGCTCCCACGCCCCCTCTAACCTCCCCTTTTCGCTCTCGCTACTTAGTGCCTTTAAAACAGCAGCGCCGCGTTCGCCTAAAGGAGACTGGGGACAAAATGGAGGGAGCAGCTCGCTCCAGAACATGCGTCAGACGCTGGTGTCCGCCAGCGCGGGGCTGGGGGAGGGGCAGGGAGGACCGGGAAGGCGGCGTGGGAGAGGAGAGGAGAAACCCGCAGCGTGCGTGGTTGGGGTCCGCTGGTGCTTCCCCGGGGCACTCCAGCCCACGACTGCGACAGAGCGCGCGGCCACGGGCAGGACGAGGCGGCCGCTCTCCGAGTTCCGCGCCTCCCCGCACAGCCCCGCGCCGCCTCTCCCGATGCACCTCGATGGTTAACGTGTAGCTGCTTTTTAGGGGCTGTCACGGTGCACAGTCACGCCGCTCGGGGTGATGCCGCAGCCTAGCACGCAGCGAGGACGCCCTAGCCTGAGCTCCTGATGGGACGCTTTCTTGGTTGCATTTTTATTTATCTGCGACGCAGCGAGAGCTCCCATGTTAACTCCTCTCATGGGCGCTGGCTGTTTTTCTCCAGTCACAGCCCTAGTGAGATGCACGATGACTTGCATTTCTGCGTTTGCAGGTCACAGTGGTTTTTGGAAATTTTTTTTTTTTTGGAAATTTTGGAATTGTGCTGTAACATTAGGGAAATTAAAAGGGAACTCTGCCAGTGCTGTTCTGAAATTTTGAGCTAACCGTGCTGTGAACTCTTGGTTAGGAAGGTGGCCTGGAAGGAAGGAAGGGTCCAAAAGGCTTAAGGAAGTGTTTGGGAAATGATCTCTAAATACGTTGTAAAGGGCGGAGAACTGGAAAAGTACCAGGTAGAACACCATGAAGTCATCCTATTTCTGAAATTTTTCCTATTTTTTTAATTGCTACTGAAATATTGCTAAGGTTGGCTTAGTTGGGGGTTCATTTCATTCGTCTTTGAAAATTAGTTTCACATGGATTACTTTTTATGTTAAAGAATTTTGATATTTAAAAAGTTGCATAATACTTGATTGTAGTTTTTTTTGTTTGTGTAACAGTTTATAGAGTGAAAAGAAAAAAGATCTCTCATTGCTTTTTTCCCCTAAAATAAATACAACTGATATGTCTTTCCAAACTTCCTTTCCTTCCTTCCTTCTCTCCTTTCTCTTTCTCTCTCTGTTTTTTTTTTTAAGACTTATTTATTTGAAAGGCAGAGTTGCAGAGAGAAGAGAGAGATCATCCACCCACTGGCTCACTCCCCAGTTGCCATCCGTATGTGATGCCAGAGTCGCAGGCAGCAGCTTAACCCATGAGGCCACAACACCGGCCCAGAACTCTTTCAAATAGACAAATAGATCCTAAAAAAGGAAACAAAAAGCCAGACACAGACAAATCTCATGTTTTCTCGTATATGTGGAAGCTAATATATATTATAAAAAATGTGTGCATACCATATACTTGATGTACAGATATTTATATCTTCAATGAACTATATCCCTTATATGATATGTCCTTTTTTCCTCACTCTGTAATCCTTGTCATGAATCCCATATTATGTGATATTAATATCCTTGCTTTCCAGAAAACAGTATGTATGTATGTACATAGACTGTTTACATAGGCAGTGAATATGGCAAAATGTTAACAGATGCTTTTAGGGATGCGGCAAGTTAAGCTGTTGCCTGCAACATCAGCATCCAAACAGTGCCTGTTCCAGTGCCTGCTGCTCCACTTCCAGTCCAGCTTCCTGTTAAAGCTCCTAGGAAATTAGTAGAGGATGGCCCAAGTCCTTGGGCCCCTGACACCCACATGGGCGACCTGGTTGGAGTTCTAGGTCGTGGCTTCAACTTGGCCCAGACCTAGCTGATGTGGACATTTGGGGAATAAACCAGCAGATGGAAGATCTCTGTGTCTGTCTCTACACCTTTCAAAATGATAAAGTCAGTGCTGGCACTGTGGCATAGCAGGTAAAGCTACTGCCTGCAGTCCTGGCATCCCATATGGGCACTGGTTTGAGTCCGAGCTGCTCCAGTTCTGATCTAGTTCTCTGCTGATGTGCCTGGAAAAGTAGCAGAGGATGACCCAAATGCTTGGGCCCCTGCACCCATGTGGAAGACCTGGATGAAGCTCCTGGCTCTGGCCTGGCCCAATCCCAGCTGTTGTGACCATTTGAAGAGTGAACCAGTAGATGGAAGATCTATGTCTCTCCCTGTCTGCAATTCTGCCTTTTGAATAAATAAATTTTTTTATTTTTATTTGACAGGTAGAGTTATAGACAGTGAGAGAGAGACAGAAAGAAAGGTCTTCCTTCCATTGGTTCACTCCCCTAATGGCTGCTACGGCCAGCGCTGTGCCGATCCAAACCCAGGAGCTGGGTGCTTCCTCCTGGTCTCCCATGCGGGTGCAGGGCCCAAGGACTTGGGGCATTCTCCACTGCACTCCCTGGCCACAGCAGAGAGCTGGCCTGGAAGAGGGGCAACCGGGACTAGTACCTAGCACCCCAACCGGAACTAGAACCCAGGGTGCCAGCACCGCAGGTGGAGGATTAGCCAAGTGAGCCACGGCATCGGCCTAAATAAATCTTTTTTAAAAATTAGTGAGATACTGTTTCACACTTGTCATTCTCATATATTGTTGAGGAGACTGGTTTTTTTTTTCTTAAACTTATTTGAAAGACAGAGTTATAGAGAGAGGTAGAGACAGAGAGATAGGTCTTCCATCTGCTGGTTCACTCCACAGATGGCCACATCGGCCAGAGCTGTGCCTATCCAAAGCCAGGAGCCAGGAGCCTCCTCTGAGTCTCCCACTGGGGTGCAGGGGCCCAATGACTTTGGCCATCCTCTACTGCTTTCCCAGGCCATAGCAGAGAGCTGGATTGGAAATGGAGCATCCAGGACTCGAACTGGCTTCCATATGGGCCAGAGCTTTAACCCACAGTGCCACAGTGCAGGCCCCCCAGAAAACTTTTTTTTTTTTAAAGAGAGGTCTTCCATCCCTACTGGTTTACTCCCCAAATGCCTGCAACAGCCAGGGCTGAACCAGGCTGAAGCCAGGACCTGGGAACTCACTCTGCATCTCCCACATGAGTGGCAGGGGCCTAAGTACTTGAGACATTATCTGCTGCCCCCCAGGGTGCCCGTTAGCAGAGAGCTGGGATTGGAAGCAGAGCTAGGCTGGCGCTGCAGCTCACTAGGCTAATCCTCCGCCTTGCGGCGCCGGCACACCAGGTTCTAGTCCCGGTTGGGGCACCGGATTCTGTCCCGGTTGCCCCTCTTCCAGGCCAGCTCTCTGCTGTGGCCAGGGAGTGCAGTGGAGGATGGCCCAAGTCCTTGGACCCTGTACCTCATGGGAGACCAGGATAAGTACCTGGCTCCTGCCATTGGATCAGCGCGGTACGCCTGCCGCAGCGCACCAGCCGCAGCGGCCATTGGAGGGTGAACCAACGGCAAAAGGAAGACCTTTCTCTCTGTCTCTCTCTCTCACTGTCCACTCTGCCTGTCAAAAAGAAAAAAAAAAAAGGAAGCAGAGCTGGGACTTGAACCCATGCATGCTGCTATGGGGTGCAAGTGTCTCAAGTGGCATCTTAACTACTGTGCCAATTACCTGCACCTAGATTCAACTTTGTTAAAAGGAGCAGGCACGAGAATATTCCTTGTGGCATAGTAGTAGTTGCCAAAGAATGGGAAAGAGCCCAGATATTCCTGAATTTGGCAAATGAATAACTTATTGTGGGAAACTCATCATTTAATACCTATGTACTTATATGCAGATACAGCAATGAAATGAACTCGAATAAGATATCAGTCTTGTGATTTTTCACAAAAGTAAGTTAAACAAAATGTAAATAGTACAAAAATGTATAAAGTTCTCATTTACAAAAAGGCTTAAAACCATGCAAAATGATACTGTATCCATAGAGATGCATATGTACTTAGTAAAAGCATAAAAATGTACCTAGAAATGATAATACCAAATTCAGACAGGAGTTTTTGGGGATGGAAGGCATTTGAGTGGGGACAGCCAACTTACAGGCTTCTGTTCTACTGTCATACTTTCCTAAGTGGGGTGACAAGCAGGTGCTTGCATTTTATACTTTTTAAAGGTCATAAATATTTCACAGTCACATTAATTGAAAAGCAATTTAAATTCATCTAAGTTTGTCCAAATGTAAAGAGTTTATTGGGGCTAGCATTGTGGCATAGCAGGTTAAGCCTCGGCCTGCAACACTGGTATCCCATATGCGTACCATGTGAGTCCCAGCTGCTCCTCTTCTGACCCAGAAGATGGCCCAAGTGGTTGTGCCCCTGCCACTCACATGGGAGACCCAGGTGGAGTTCTGTGCTCCTGGCTTTGGCCTGGCCTAGCCCTGGCCAT